CCCGTCCGCCCGAGGCAGGCGACGGTACGCTCAGCCCTCCCCCGACCCTTCCTCACCGGATGAAGATCGCCGGCGCCCGGCCTTCCCCTTGTCCATCTTCTCCTCCTCCTGCTGGAGTCGCGGTTGCCGTCGCTGTCACCTCAGGACCCCTCAGGCTGGGGGCGGGAGGGGGAGGGGAGAGAAAAGAGCCAGGAAAGCGCGAACCGCGCTTGCGCAAGAGCGTCCTCGGCCCGCAGACCGGAAGTCGGCGCCCCGCCCACCTCCACCCGGAAATCACTTCCTGGGACTAGTGTTCTCGGCCGGGTGCTGTCTCGGGAGTTGTTTTTGTGCGCTCTTCTCGTTATCCAGGCCCGTGTGGGGACGTGAGGCTGGGTGCGAGGTTTTACCCGAGATCTTCAGAGGCTTTGCGGGCTTTGAAGACTTGGTTGACTAAAAAAGAGGGGAAACATCAGGAATTCCTCCAGTTCACCAGGCCCCGCGAGGTGGCCCCAGGAATAGAATAAAACGTTACTCCGGTTGCAATATTATTTTCCTCACGGTCTGTCCTGTATATTTATCCTCGAGGAGCTTCCTCAAACTCGGAAATAAAAAGAATTTCAGACGGCAAAATCACCTAGTAGCCTCGCTGTTGCTTTAGCAGTTGGAGTGGAAACAATTAGGTCAGCTGAGGGAAAAATGTGATAGTAATAGAGAGGATCTGTTTTTAAGATTCAAACTCAACATGTTTAAAGGCCCGGAAAAAAGATAAGCTGGACTTCGATTTTGTAAAACATGAGATGCTGAGATGATGACAGAAAGTGGGTACCTGTAAATGGAATTCGTTCAGCTAACTTATTACAATACTGGAGGGATCAGTCCTGATGTCTAGTACTTTTAGACTGATTATTTTTTAGTCCCTTCAAAGGGCCCCTCAGTCTAGAAAATTGTCCTGTTTTATTAGCCATAATAGACATATTTGAGTAATTTTTTTTTAATGTGTACGCTTTAATCGCAATAAGTTTAACAAAATTCTGCAGAGCACTCTTGTCAAGGCAGAATGATACTGGAATGTTCCAAGCTGGAAGGGAGCGTGGAGACGCTTGAGTCTAACATCCGCCCCCGCCCCCCATCTTACCAGATTTGCCCACCTCACCCCTAGAGCCCAGTCTCGTGCATCGTGAGTCTTGGGTCTTAATTACCACTGTGAGGCCTGTGCTGAGGTAGGGGTAAGCCTCCAGGTGGGGGCCCCTGTTGGGCTTGGGGAGTGGCTTATAGGGCAGAAAAGCAGGAATACTTCAGGGCTTGCTGAGAGTGAGATGCACTGCAAGGATTTCCTTTAGAGGTCCTAGTTTATTGCTGTTTAACGAAAAGAAACATTGCTTACTGAAAAATACCTGAATTCTAAGTTTTCTCATAAGTCAACTTTTTTAATTGAATAACTAACTCAAGACTCAAACCGGCTTAATTCATTAGCTAATATTACAGGGAACGAATTACCTGCGAAAGATGGAAGTAGAGCTGAGAGATGGGAACATGAAAAAGGAAAGTGTAAGTAGGCCTAATCCATTTCCACCCAAACTGGCAGCTTCCATCACAGTAAGTGGTTTTAAAGTTTAGCGGTAAGAAGTTAATTTATGAGTAGTGAAACTGTAGAAGTTAATCAAATTATTCTCCTTGCAAATATGTCATTTAAACTTGTCATTGAACTAGATATAGCATTTCTGCTAATAAAGACTTAGTGATCCAGTTCGTTTCTTTGAATTGGAGCTTGTTTGGAATAACATATTTGAAGATAAATGACCTTTAAGCTCAAGAATTTCAGATTTGCTTTTTTAACCACTATTTTTATTGTTTTAGCTTTTACAATCTCTACTGCATAGTTGACTATTGCAAACAACTAAAGGACTAAGAATTTCAGTTTTTACTTTTGAGGGAGTCATTTAACAACCTCACTTTGCCTTTTATCAAAGACTGATTAAATGATGGCTTCTTTTATAGTGTTTTATGATGTTCAGGTGAAACCTTCCTTATTTAAAAAATAAGAAAGACCCAAAAAAAGTGAGTGACTTTCTTAGTATGTTTGGGAATGATGTCATTTCTTTTATGTACATTTAGCGCACAGTATATAGAGCCTTTTAAATTAAAATCGTTTAAGATTAGAAATTCGTCAACCCAGTATTTTATAAGAGGAGAGGATGGACTGGTTTGATTTTAATGAGTATGGTTCTTTATTAAGTATTAAAAGTGTATAAAGTGTTTAGATATTCATTGTATTTTGTTTTAAGCAGTGGGTATAGTCTTGATAGTTTCAAGACAGTGGCAGTGTGAAATTGATCAACGCTTTATTTTACCCCTTGATTAACAACTTCTTTCAAGAACTTAATGAAATCTACAAAATGCCCTTTCTCATCTCAAGTGAATTAGCTTGAAGTACAATATGAATGTAAATAGGTTTGGATGGGCACTGGGGACGTCTTGACTTCCTAAACTGTTTTAAAAATTAACATGACCAATCTGGAATTCCTTACCATGCATGGGCTCCAGGAAAGCCTAGATTTTGCAAAGTTTGGAGCACTGTGTCATGTTGCTATTCACCTCATTTTCATTAGTAGTTGATTCTTATCTTTAAAATACTGAGAATTCTTATGTGAAGGTCCATGTATAAAGTAACACGTGATTCATAAAAAGACACGTATAGGTTGTTTGGTTTCAAAGATATCTTCCTTTTTAAGACAATCAGCAATTCTAACTGCTCTGTAATGAAATAGCCTGTTCCCAGAAGTTATGAAAACCTGCATTAACTTGAGATATTTGAGCAGCTGATGGGTAATCTTTTGTCCAAGAAGCTATAGAAGGAATCTGTGCACAAATCTTTAACTTAAGATCCCTAAACTGTCATATGGCCCTGGGACTGAGCCCAAGGTATCCTGTACATACAGCACTAACCTCTTTGAAGTGTTCTATCTTAAAGTGTTGTGTTTATTTAGCATTTCCATGCCTTAATACATTTGGTTGATTTTAATAGAAAAGTTTCATTTTATGTTATTACTATTTAGTAAAATTGACGCTTTAGGTAGTGTCATCTTCTTTATCCTTTAACGTTTGGTACCCACTTACCTCTGAATAATCCAAACCAAGAAGCATAGGATCTAAGATTGGACAAAGTCAACAAATCCAAAATCTAGCTGTCAGAATTACTTGGGAGTATCTTTTTTAAATTACCTCTTTCCAGGTCCCACCTCAGACCTTTTGAATCAGTATCTCCTAGAAGTGGGACCTAATAATCTCTATGTTTAAAAAGTTTCCCAGGAAGACATCAAGTTTAAAAAAAAAGCATAAAACTAAACTACTAACCTATAGGCCCTAAGACTGCACTTTTAGGAGATAAAACCATAAAGAAATACAAAGCAATGATTTCTGTAAAAGTTCTAGACGGTGGTTACTTTAGGAGCGAGGGATGGGGCACTTGAAGAGACTTTAAGGGTGACTGGCAAAGCCAGGCTGGGGTGGTTACAAGGATGTTTCTCTTTATAATAGTTCACTAAGCAATTTTTTTAAAACTTTCCTAGGAGATTCTGTTGCCTACTCAAGTTTGGAATGCCCAAGATTTTGTGACATCTGATTTTTTTTCTTTCTGTCTCTAATATTGTATTTTCGATATGTCTTTGCCTCAGGTGGATTAAATTCAGCATCGTTAGTCTTTCCTAGGAAGATGTAGGCAGAGGAAAGGGATACTATTTAGTTTGCTCTTTTTTGAAACTTCTACATATATAATTTCATAAGCTTTATCACTTGCTACTATTTTTTACAATTTATTGAATTGTATACAGGCATAGTTATTTTTCTTAAAACTCATAATTGCATTCTGTATTGGGAAAATAACAATAGTACTGCTTTTGTATCAAAACAGTAATTCTTTTCTCAAAATGTTTTCTGGGGGGGTGTTTTGTTTTTCTAAATAATAAAAAGATATTCATTGTAAAAAAAAAAAGAAAAGAAAAGTTTCTTTAGATATTTTTAAATTTTCTGAGTGAAGCATCTTTCATTCTGTGTTTCTTAATGGCATAGGATATACAAAAGGACCTCTTCAATACACCAAAGGACTGTAATTACCGTAATAGGGTTTTACTGTGTAACCAGGGGTTATACCCTAACTTTTCAGGTTGTAAAATGATATTTTCATGAAAGCTTACTAATCACCTGTGAAGAATGTAAAATATTGTTAAATATAACCACTTTATGATCCTAGAAAGGAAAGGAATTCCTTAAAATTCAAATAAGCTAATTAAAATTATTTGCATCTGTGATTCTATTGCCCCAGCCACTGTCATCTTGTCACATTCATAGAGATAGAAAGTGGAATGGTTTGCCAGCGGCTGGGATGAAGGGGAAATAAGGAGTTATTGCTTAATGGGTGCAAAGTTACAGTTTTGCAAGATGAAAAGTGTTCTATGGATGAATGGCAGTAGTCTTTGCACAACAACATGAATGTATTTAATACCACTGAAGTACACCCCTAAAAATGGTTAAAATGATGGTAGTATTTTTACCACAATTTTTTAAAAATAAATAATTAAAAGTAATAATAGCCACACCTAGAGCAAAACATAACAACTGTGTCACCACCTAATCCAGGCTACTAGAAGGACCTAATTTGAAATTCTTGTGAATGATTATATACTATTCTCCTTTTTTTAAATTTCATTGAATGTAAAATGACTAGACTACTTGATATAGGAAACTAAGTGTCTGACAAATACCCTTACTAAATTTTTGGTGAGTGAATGAAATAAACAGTCAAATAGTATGCATTTTTAAGATCACTGGTAAAAATGAATCTTCTCTCAGGCTCCTAGAGCTGCCTGAGTTATTTTGGGCATGTCACTTTACCTTTGAAAGCTTCACTTCTCTATAAAATAAACATTAGCTGAGAATATCAGTAACATTCCTTGGAGCTCTGACAGTCTTATTCTTGAAGCTAAGCTATCTTATTCCAACCCATTCTTTAGAAAACTAAGCATATAAAACAGTTTGATTCTCTCCTTTATTTTAACGGACCATCTTTATTTGCAAAAGAGAAAACATGTATACAATATTCTGTAAGAATAATTCATAAATCAACCTTTATTACTTTAGAATTATAGAAGAAGCCTCTATAATTTTTCAAAAGCTTTGTGTGGGGGCCGGCCCGGTGGTGCAAGCGGTTAAGTGCTCGCGATCCGCTGCGGCGGCCCGGGTTCACTGGTTCGGATCCCGGGCGCGCACCAACACACTGCTTGGCAAGCCATGCTGTGGCGGCGTCCCATATAAAGTGGAGGAAGATGGGCGCAGATGTTAGCCCAGGGCCAGTGTTCCTCAGCAAAAAAAACAGGAGGATTGGCAGATGTTAGCACAGGGCTGATCTCCTCACAAAAAAAAAAAAAAAAAGCTTTATGTGCATCTTTCTCCTTTGTATACAGCTGGAGGACTTTTGCTCTTTACTTCCTTATGCCCTTAGCAAAAATCATAAAATTCTAACAACGTTTAAGTGCCTATTATTCACCAGGCACTATTCCAAGAACTGGCGATACAGTAGTGAATAAAACAAAGTTCTTGTCCCTACTCTCATGGAACTTACATTCTAATAGGGGAAAACAGATGATAAGCAAGTGAAATGTATGTCTGTTAGTGATAAGTGCTAAAAAGAAAAGAAAGAGAGAGGCTTTTATTCTCAGTGAGAGGGCAGATCATTGAGAATTTTGAACAGGGGTGTGAGACCCAATTTAGATGTTTTGAAAAGATCATCCTAGCTGTGTAACCAGGAAGCTTGGCAAAGAAAGGGGTACCGAGGATCTGGTAGAAAAACTAACATTATCTGTTGAGTGTTTTGAAGACAGAAAGTTTCGGGAAGAGCCTAACCACAGAAAGTTCCCACAAGCAAGCTAGCTGAAGCTGGTTCTAGCTGCCTCAGACTGCTCTAAAATGAACTGAAGTGAATTGTTCCCATTATAATCTCATTACCATTTTAAATTCTCCTCCTCTGAGAGGGACCAAGCTGCCATTTTCAGATCATGAGATGTATGTAATAGTATGTATATATGCCATGCATGTGCCATGGGAGAACATAGTATGTAAATCAACCATGGTCTTCTGCTATCTGCAGTATAAGTCTCTACTGGCATTGTGTTCAGAGAGACACTGCTTTGGGAGATATCCCCAGTGTTCTCCATTGCTAGTGCAAGTAATAAAACTTTCTTCACCTACTTCTGCCTTGGTTGTGCTTTTTGGCTCTGCACTCACCAAGAGACAAACCCATTGAGTTCAGTTACAGCTGTTCTGTGGAAAACAGACTGCAGGGAGATAAGAGCTTATGCAAAGAGATTGGATGGGAGACTTAATAATGAAGACGAGAGTTGATGGTGACTTGGCCTAGGGTGCTAGAGGTGGAGGGATGATAAGTGATTAGATTACAGATATATTTCAAACAGCAGAGCCTAGAGATTTGCTGACTGATTGAATGTGCAGTGTGAAAGAGAGAAGGGAAGTTTGCAGCATGAGCAACTGAAAGAATGAAGTTGCCATTTACTAAGATAGGAAAGACTAGGGGGAGAGTAGATTGAAGGGGGTGTTTGGGACATGTTAAGTTTGATTTTGCTATGTGACATCCAAGTAAATATATCAGGTAGACAGTTGGGTATGAATTCAGGGGAGAATTACAGGTTGGAGTATATTAGCCAAGCAAAATGTGCTATAATAAATTCTAAAGAATGTCAACCTTTTCATTCTACAAGATACCGCCTTGCCTCTGTTCACCTCCACCTGTCCTTTTTATATCTGTGTGCTGTTTTGATTTTCCAGTTTGCAAACTCCCATTCTTTCACCAGAGAATTGTCTCTCAAAATAGGTACACAACCTCTTGGGGCCAACCTGGTGGCGTAGTGGTTAAGTTCGCACGCTCCACTTCGGCAGCCCAGGGTTTGCGGGTTTGGATCCTGGCACGCACTGATGCACTGCTTATCAAGCCATGCTGTGGTGGCGTCCCACATGTAAAGTAGAGGAAGATGGGCATGGTTGTTAGCCCAGGGTCAGTCTTCCTCAGTGTAAAGAGGAGGATTGGCAACAGATGTTAGCTCAGGGCTAATCTTCCTCACCAAAAAAAAAATAGGTACACAACCTCAACAAAGGTGGAAAAGAGTAATTGAATTCTATATGCTGTGTGCTATTAGAAAATACTGATTTTGTTTATTTTACTCTGATTGAAAGAAAGGTTAAATAGTTAACTAACAAGGTTCTTTGTTTAGTTTGTTGAGTTTTAAGTATTGTGTATCTTTCTCTTTAGTACAGAAAAAGGCAACTTTTTGTACTGAATAAACAAAGCACCTGAATAAACAAAGTATTTTTAGATCTGAGAGATACATTGCTTTTCTGTGCTAACCTCCTCATCCATGCCACATTATAAAATAGAGCTTCCTTTTTGGAGAGCAATTTGGCAATATCTGGGTAAATGGAAGATGCTGGTATGACCTTTGTTTAACTGTTTAATTAACTTCCCAATTCTAGGTATATTACCTTGGGAAACTTTTGACATGTGCACAAAAATTAGCTATAAGAATGTTCATTGCAACTTTGTTTATAATAATGAAAAATCAGAGCAACCTAGACGTTCTTCAACAGGAAAATAGTTAAGCAAACTATGGCATGGTCAAGCAATGGAACACTATAAACATAAAATGAATGACCTAAAACTATATTCACTAATGTGGATAAAAATTGCAATGGTGAGTGAATAAGGAAGGCTGGACAAGAGCTATAAGTACTTTTTATTTCACATTTCTCAAAACAGAAAATCAGCCTATCTAGTTTCACAGAAACATCCATGTGTGAGACACTCTGTAAGACAGTTTTTACCTACATTAGTTAATTTAATTCTCACAAGAATCTTGTGAAGTAAATTATGTTATCCCTACTTTACAGCTATTCAAAAAATATTTGTATAATATGTGCCAGACACTGTTGTAAGTGCTGAAGACACAGCAGTTAATTAAACAGAGTTCCTGTTCTCAGAGAGCTTTCATTCTAGTGAGGAGAGGCAGAGAATAAAAAACATATGCAACCAATTATATTTCACGTGGTGATGTAGGCTATGAAGAAAATTAAAGCAGAGTAGCAGGATAGAAAGTAATAAGGATTGCTATTTTAGATAGCATAAGCAAACTAAAACTCAGAAACTGCAGAAACTGAAACATGGAGGGTAAGAAACATGCTGAGAGTCACTCAACTGGGAAATTTGGAGCTAGGATTTAAACCTAGATCAATCTAATTCCAAAGTCTCCTCCTTTAAAGGACGGTTAGGTCTCTCAGTCATTTACGCTTTGGAAAAAGATATTAATTACATAATGGCACCTGAGATCAGCAACACTAGAAGAAAGGGAGTTTTTAACAGAACAGGAAGGAAGAGAGCAGTCTAGATGGGAGGGGGCTTTGGACAACCAAACACTTTCATAAAGTACCTCTTGGGTGTGGGAATCAGAGAATAAGATTCAGGAAGTGATGAGTTAAAGAGATCAAATCAAAAAAGCACCATTTAAATGTGGCCTTGAAGCTTGACAGCAGTCACAGCGGCACTGAAAATCACTGTGAGTGCTGCTTATTGGAATTGGGTGGTGATCGCCATCATCAGTGTTAAGAAATTAAGGAGAGAGTATTAACATATTCGTTAAGAACATGAATTTGAATCAGCCTCCATACCCAATCATTTATTTAATAGTTGTTTGGCTTTAGGGCAAGCCCCTTAACCTTTCAAAGCCCTTTCTCTTCCCTTTAGGCTCTGTCCACAGTAACTGTCTAAATTAACCTCTCAGCCAGCCACTTTTTTTCTTCTCAGATATCAGAATAGCCATATCTTCTATTATTAGGTAAGTTGATCAAAACCTATACTACCTGGTTCACATTTCACCCCCACTGCCATCCCCTGCCATTTATTAAATGCTTACTGTGGAAATAAAGGCCAACCAAGTGAGAAAAGCAAAGGCTATTTTTTCAGTTCATGCTATAGCAAGGCAGTCAGCCACCAGCACTTGCATTCTGGCAGAGACTCAAAGGCAGGCAAAGAGTGGGAAAGCCTACAGTGGAAAAGGGGAGGCTGCTGGTATTGGAGGCTGTTGGCGTGGGGAAGCTGTAGATGGGCTACCTAGAAGAGGGACATTCTATGTCATTGGTTAGGGGAGCATATTTGGCTTTCTCGGGTGGGTTCTAAGTTGGAAGCAGGGATAAAAATTAGTGAAACTGTCAGTTATTAATCGAGTCTTGGTCATTTGGGGCCAAGTGTAACAGAAGTTATTGTTTAGCTTCCTGGATTGTCTCTAGAGGTGGCAGTCTGACTTCCTGCAAGTCTGACTTAAAGCAGCCTGCCTTCCTGGGCTGGTTATTGTAAATAGAGGGTTGGCTTCCTGCGCAAGTTGCCGCAGGTTGTGGGTCAAAGTTCTGTTTTTATATATAGTCTGGCCATTGTCCCTTAGTATATTCAATCTCTCACTACTTTTCATGACTCACAATTATTTTGAGTTAAAGTCTTTACCATAGGCCAAAAGGTTAATGTCTTCATGAAGTGCTTAATTTAGCATGATTTCCCACAGAAAGAATTTAGCAAGCTGAAAATTTTATTTCATTTTTTCTGGCACTGATATATTATGCTTGTTACTTTCAGTGGTTACCAGTGACTCAGGAGCTGAGCTTCCAAAAATTTATTGAACAATCTGACTTACTAGAAGAACTTAAATATGACTTCAATGAAAAAGCTGAACTGAGGCATACTGAGACACAAAGGCCTTTTGTCTTTAACTATTATAAAAATGTCCTTGAGAGAAATAGCAAGCGCTACCAGGCCCTTGGCCGTTTGCTTCAACAATACATTTATGAGCTTTTGGAGAAAGTGTGCAAATTACAAAAAGTGTATATCCCACAAGAGGTTGATAAAGAACCAAGAAGCTTCTTTTTCATGAGTGAGAGAGCATTAACAAATCATCCTTCTGTTCTTCTTGTCCTTCTTCAAGATCAAGGGGTCTTTCAAGCTGGTCAGTGGAGTCAGCAGGCAGTCATACATCATGGTCTCCAACATGGAAGTCAGATACCGTGTATTCAAATGGCAGTGCAGGCACATTATGATGTAATTGTGCTAAACCCCAACGGCAATTTCGTGGACCTAAAGATGGAAAAAGAGTGGAAAGGCCTTTTAACACAAAATATTGAATCTTCTTCCCTAAAAATGGTTCAGGCTGAGAGCTTTTTATCTCTCCAGCAGCCTCTCCAATGCATTCCAAAAAGATGCAGCAACACTCCTGAAGAACACATGGCTTATATTTGGGATTACTTCATTTCAAAGACTGAAGGCAAGGATGTTGCCTTCATCGTGCATGGTTATGGAGGCTTGGTTTTCATGGACTTGCTTGTTCATAGAAAGTGGGAAGTCACGAGCAAAGTATATGCCGTGGCCCTTATTGACTCTGAGCACCACGTCGGACACCAGCTGGGAAGTGACGGACAGTTATTAGCATGGATAAAGCACCACTGCCGTGAATGGGTGACAAGCCCTAAGCCTTTGGATAAACCTGTAACTACTATTTTGAAAAAGGAGTTTCCTGTGGTTTCTGCAGGTACAGAAAAACGCAACTTAGCACCTTCCTGTAGCCTTCAGTCAATTTTTAAATACTTTAACAAAGCTTTGAGAGCCAAAACAACTATTAGTTTCCCTCAAGGGCCAATAGTAACTAGAAGCGCCACAAAAAGAAAGCAAAGTGCTTAAGTTACTTTTTTGTCATCTGAGATTTTCCTGTCCCACTGAAACTTGGCTGATGTAGATGGTAGAAGAAAAAGAACACTTCCAGCTCACACACACTGTTATGTTCTGGCGTAAGGTTTGATTTGTTACTTTTCTAAAAGATGGATATGTTCTCTTTTGTAGCCTATTGATGAACCAGGAAGTCAGTCAGTACCATCATTAATATTTTACAGTATTAGTCAAGTTAGAGGATCTTTCCTTTGAAAAGCTACGTTCTTATGGTTTCAGAGAAGTACACCATAACTGTAGCTGATAGAAATTAAATATTAAGTAAATCTTTGATTTTTGTGTTATTAATACCATTAAAATTACAAGTGAACATATAAATTAAATATGTGCAAACTCCATTCTCTGTATGTTTGTGTTCTTTTGTTTAAATCGGTTGATCTTGTGTGTATGTGTTTACTCATATCTTCAGCTAATATTTGAGTGTTCTCTATGTGCCAGTCAATGCTAGGTGTTGAGGACACTGGCAAACAAGGCCAACATTGCCTTGATCCTTATGGAGTTCACAATGAACAACATGTTGCAAGTGTGAAGAATGTTAAGAAATAAAAGGTGCCATGGAACATCTAGCATGATAGCTAACCAGCCTTGGGGTTCAGGGAATACTTCCCTGAGAAAAGAATGCTTAGTCTGAAGAACAATTGTAGTTAGCTGAGAAAACAAGGTCATAGGCAAAGGAACAGCATATGCAAATGTCCTGAGGCAGGAGAAAGAAGTCTAGATCAGCTTGAACTAAAAGATTATGGGGGAGTAGTATTAAAGAAAACATTATACATGACATTTGTTAAAAATAATAAGGAAGACTTTATTCAAGAGGGATTACTACGATGGGGGTTTTGCAGTGGGGGAGAGAGATCGGGCTCAACTCCAAATATAACAAAGACAAGTGGGGGGGATTTATGGCCAAGGAACAGGGTAAGGGTCAGTGAATGGGAAATTACTAAGTGGTAACATCAGGGTGTAATGGAGATTTTTACTAGACCAACTCAACAAGATTCTTGCTGAAGACAGGCCAGGGTGATAAAATATTGAGAGTAGAGGATGAGGAATTTCATCAGATATAGAGGATGATCAGATACCAAGGGTGGGACATTTTCACTAAACTGACTCAGCAGAATTCTTGCTAAAACTGGACTAAGCAGATCAAGGACAGAGCCCAATATCAGAGCCTAGCTGAGAGGAGGGCTCAGAGAAGCCACACTCAGATTTGGCCAAGGAGAGAGGTTTCATCATTAGCTGGAAAGTTAAGTTAAAGAAAAAAGCAGACTCAGTTTACTAAAGGCTGCATTGTCCATGGTTAAGATTTTGGATGGAAGCCATTGGATGGTTTTAGACAGGAGAATATGATCAGGTTCACATTTTTTAAAGAATATCCTTGGGCAGGCCCTGTGGCTTAGCGGTTAAGTGCGCGCTCCACTGCTGGCGGCCCGGGTTCAGATCCCCCGGGCCGCGCACCGATGCACCGCTTCTCCGGCCATGCTGAGGCTGCGTCCCACATACAGCAACTAGAAGAATGTGCAGCTATGACATACAACTATCTACTGGGGCCTTGGCAGAAAAAATAAATAAGTAAATAAAATTATAAAAAAGAATATCCTGATTGGGGCCAGCCCGGTGGCGTAGTAGTTAAGTTCACGCACCCCACTTTGGCGGCCTGGGGTTCATAGGTTCAGATCCTGGGTGCGGACCCGCACACCGCTCGTCAAGCCATGCTGTGGTGACATCCCACATACAAAATGGAGGAGGATGGGCACGGATGTTAGCTCAGGGCCAATCTTCCTCAGCAAAAAGGATTGGCATGAGATGTTAGCTTAGGGCTAATCTTCCTCACCAAAAAAAAAAAACAAAAACAAAAAGAATATCCTGATTGCAGTTTGGAGAATAGATTAGAAGGAGGACAAGCTTGGAAGCAGGGAGACCAAATTAATTTTGGCAGTAGTCTGAGAAGTACTTAATACCTTCAATGAACAAAATTTTGTGATTGATTGGAGGTCAGAAATTAGGAGAAGGAAATGACAAGGATTACTCCTAGATTTTTGGGTTGAGCAACTAGATGGATAGAAATACTATTTGCTGAGATAGGGTCTACTGGTGAAAAATGTATTTTGGCTGTTCCAGAAAGTTTTAAAAAGAGAAAAAGGAATAGGTTAGAAATTATTTTTTAGCTCTGCCCATAGATGAGTAAGAGAGGAACCCATACTGGAAGTTGCATTTGAAAAATTGACTCTGCCATATCTACCAGGACATATAGATTTTTCTGTACATAGCTATTCCTAGCGTCTGCTTTTGTAACCCAGTGTATATTATAATTCCTGTCATAGACTGAATGTTTGTTTCCCCCTGAAATTCATATGTTGAAATCTTAATTACCAGTGCGGTGTGATAGTATTAGGAGGTGGGGCTTTTGGGAGGTGATTAGGTCACAAGGGTGGAGCTGTCATAAATGGGATTAGTGCTCTTATGAAAGAGAGAGAACTCCCTTCCACTGTGTTACGACACAGTGAGAAGACATCCATCTATGAACCAGGAAGCAGGCCTTCACCACACACCGAATCTGCCAGTGCCTTGATTGTGCACTTCCCAGCTTCTAAGAACTGAGAGACGTACATGTTTGTTGTTTAAGCCTTCCAATCTATGATATTCTGTTATAGCAGCCCAAACAGACTAAGACAATTCCTTATCAGCAAAGACATAGTATTTCAAATTTCTCTTCTTTCTGCACCATGTCTTGAGCGGCATAATGAGAAAAAAACAGCACCAAATTGTAAATCAGGATATGCAGGTTTTAAATGAATCTCAGCCTTGGATAAATCAGTTCATCTCTCTCAGCCTTCATTCTCCATTTGTAAGTGAGGTGAGCTTTGAAGTCCCTTCCAGCACAGATAGTCTATCTGGAATGTATTTTTTTTTTTTTAAAGATTTTTTATTTATTTTTCCCCCAAAGCCCCAGTACATAGTTGTCTGTCATAGCTGCACATCCTTCTAGTTGCTGTATGTGGGACGCGGCCTCAGCATGGCTGGAGGACTGGTGCCTCGGTGCGCACCCGGGATCTGAACCCGGGCCGCCGGCAGCGGAGCGCACGCACTTAACCGCTAAGCCACGGGGCCGGCCCTATCTGGAATGTATTTAATGCACTTAATGTGAAAAGCACCAAAAAAGTAAAATATTAAAGTGTCACCATAAAAGCTATCCTATTGTGCACTTGATTAACTGAAAGTGGAAGTTTCTCATAACCCCTAATTTACCGTTTACTCTGGTAGTTGGTTGTATTAGTTATCTATTGCTGTATGATAGACTACCCCCAAAACTTGGTCACTTAAAACAACAGCCATTTATTACGTCACAGTTTCTGTTGGTGAGGAATTCAGGAGCAGCTTAGTCGGGTGATTCTGGCTCAGCATCTCTCGGAAGAGTACCGTCAAGACTGTCTGAAGCTGCAGTGATCTGAAGCTTGACTGGCTGTTGTCAGGAGGCCTTAGCTCCTCACCATAGAGACCTCTTCCATAAGCTGCTTCTGTTCAAGAAAAAATTATTCTGACACTTGTTAAAACAGTAAGGAAGGGCCGGCCCGGTGGCACAAGCGGTTAAGTGCGCACTCCGCTGCGGCGGCCCGGGGTTCGCCGGTTCAGATCCCGGGCGCTCACTGATGCACCGCTTGGCAAGCCATGCTGTGGCGGCGTCCCATATAAAGTGGAGGAAGACGGGCACGGATGTTAGCCCAGGGCCAGTCTTCCTCAACAAAAAGAGGAGGATTGGCAGATGTTAGCTCAGGGCTGATCCTCCTCACCAAAAAAAAAAAAACAGTAAGGAAGACTTTATTCAACAAATTGCAATTAGGAATATTGCAATAGGGAAGAGAGATTGGGCTCAACTACAAATACAGCAAAGACAGCTGGGAATTTATAGCCAAGGAGCAGAGTGAAAGGCTCAGTGGATGAAAAATCACTAAGAGGAGACATCAAGGGTAGGGGGATTCTTGCTAAAGTCTTAGACACCAAGGGTGGGGAATGAGGAAATTGTTCAGATGTCAAGGGTGAGGAGATGACTTAGCAGGATTCTTGCTAAGGCTGAGCTATGCAGGTCAGACAACAAGTAGGGTAGACACAGAAGGGTCAAAAACTAGTACAGAAGAGGGCTCAGAGTTGCCTAACTAAAGTTTGGTCAAGAAGAGAGTCTTTGTCACTTGAGTATCCTCTCAACATGGCCACCAGCTTCCTCCAGGGTGAATTGTCCAAGTGAAGGAGCAAGCAGGACACTGCACTGCCTTTTGTGACCCGCTCTCTGAAGCGGCATACTGGTCCACTTTCTCTCCATTTGTTAGAAGTGACCCATGGGCCAGCCCCGTGGCTTAGCGGTTAAGTGCGCGCTCCGCTACTGGCGGCCAGGGTTCGGATCCCAGGCACGAACAGACGCACAGCTTCTCCAGCCATGCTGAGGCTGTGTCCCACATACAGCAACTAGAAGGATGTGCAGCTATGACACAACTATCTACTGGGGATTTGGGGGAAAAAAATAAAAAATTAAAAAAAAAAAAAAAAGAAGTGACCTGAAAAGCTAAGTTCAAGGCAAGGGGCCTTAGGCTCCACCTCCTGAAGAGAGTGTCAGAGAGTTTGGGGACATATTTTAAACCACCACATAAGAAACAATGCCAAGTGAAACTAATGATAAAGATTTTTATTTTATTTATTTTTTCCCACCAAAGCCCTAGTAGATAGTTGTATGTCATAGCTGCACATCCTTCTAGTTGCTGTATGTGGGACTCGGCCTCAGGATGGACGGAGAAGTGGTGCCTCGGTGCGCGCCCGGGATCCGAACCCGGGCCACCAGCATCGGAGTGCGTGCACTTAACCACCAAGCCACGGGGCCGGCCCCAGTGAAACTAATGATAAAGCAGCTCAACTCAGTTGTTGGTTATAAGATTATCGTTGCTCTGGGAGCGTGTGTATCACGTTGCTTT